AACATTTCCATATTTTAACTCAGATTTACCAACAACATTTTGACCAACATTTAATAGAACTCTATGAGACAAAACTGTATGAGTCAAAGCATAAGCATTCATGAGCAATGAGCAAAGATGTATCAACATTTGAAGCATAAAAATTTGTTACCTAAATGAATCCCAATTTATGGTCTATGAAAGAAGAAGCAAATTCATACTTCTAGCCAATGATCTCAGTGGATGACCTCCAAATGATATAAGAATGAAACACCTAATCTGAAATGTACCTGGGCTGAGCTCGTGTTCTCTAAAACCCAAGAATGAATTTTAGGAACAACAAAGGTTAAGAGCGAAATATATTTCCTGGGGGAAAGAAAGCTCCTGTCTGAGAGAAGGACAGAAGGTAGACCCAGGAGGGTTGTCCAGGAAGCTGTTTCTTGCAGGGATTTTTGTACAGTAAAAGCATTTGGTGAGGCAGGCCTATGATGGAGAACAGGAGAACTCACTTAGGTTGGCATGTGGTAGTACAAAACTATGGTCAACCAATAAGCTTACAAGCACCAATGTTTAGGTAAAATTGATTAAATCCAGGGCCAAATGGGGAAGTGAGTCATGCAGCAAGTGGGCATGAGTATAGGACAGGAGTTTATCTGGTAGCTAGTGATAATAGGGAGAAGAACTGATCTAGGGTGGGCGACCTCCAAATGATACAGAGAACCTCTAAATGATATAACGGAAAAATGATCTCCCGACCTGACCTGGATGAGTTTGTGTTCTCTAAAACCAAAGAATAAATTTTAGAAACAAACGGAGGTTATGAGCAGAATATATTTATCTATTTATTTATTTGTGGAACTGAGGATTGAACTCAGGCCCTTGCACTTGCCAGGCAAGTGCTTATTCTACTGAGCTATCTCCCTGGCCCAGAATATATTTATTGAGGGAAAGAAAGCTGCTGTCCAAAAGAGGGACAGGAGAGGGGCCTGAGTGAGTTGTCCCCAGGAAGCTGTCTCATCCAGGGACTTTTGTAGTGTAAAACCATGCAGGGCTAAGGTGGAGAAAATGGGAACTCGCTTAGGTGGACATAAAGTAGGACAAAGCTATGGTCAACCAATGGGATTACAAGCACCATTGCTCAGGTAAAATTGGTTAAGTCCAGGACCAAATGGGGAAGCGAGTTACATAGCAAGCAGGCAAGAATGTAGAACAGGACTTTATCAGGTAGCCATCCAGTAGTTGTCAGATTAATGATTCTTCTGGCTCTCTCACAGTGATGGTCAATCTCAAATGCCAATCTTTAGGGAGGTCAGCGTTTGTTTGATCTTTGGTCTTTTAGGTCTGGCTCACAGCAGGAGCATCCATCCCTCCCACAGTTGTAAGGTATGTTTTCTGTGTTATCTCCTTTGAGGGCCTGGTCTTGTCTGTCTATAATATTTCTATCTAACTCGGCTGCCTGCAACACTAGTAGCAGTTGGATTAGCAACTCCTTCTGGCTTCCTTAAAGTGATGATCAATCCTGGATGTTTATCTTTAAAGAAGTAAACATTTGTTCAGTCTTTGATCTTTAGGTCTGGCCCACAACAGAATTGTCCATTTCTCTTGTTGCAAGGTATTTTGTCTTCCATGCTGTTTCCTTAAGGGCCTAGCCCTGTCTGCCTGCCTATAATATTTCTATCTAATTCAGCTGCCTACAAGTTTCATTTCCCTGTATCAGTAGGGTAGGCAGAAAGGATGCCTCTAAGAGCTTCCTAAGGTTTTTATTTCTTTTTTTGGTACCAGGAATTGAACTCAGGACCTTGTGCTTGAGCCATTGATATATATCCCTAGCTTCTCTCTCTTTTATTGATACATTAAAAATTTTTTTTAAGGAAAATTATTTTTATTGGTGCATTTTAAGTATACATAATGATCACATTCATAAGGAATTTGTACACGATCTTGATTCTTTTTTTCCCCATTTCTTTACCTTTTTTTTTTGCTCCTAATGCCTTCAGGGCAGGTTTGGCTGGCTTGAGTTGTGGGGATCCGACCACAGCAACCTGAGCCTGACTGCTTTGTTGAAGCAACCACTTAAAGAACTAAGGGGCAGGCCCCCTCCCCCCCATTACCTTTTCTTCAACTCCTCATCCCCTTATTTACAAAAACTTTTTTTTTTAAAGTTAATTATCTTTTTTTTTTAACATTTATTTTGTGTGTGTTAGTGTGTGTGTGTGTGTGTGTGTGGCCAGCTCAGCCCACCAGGGGGCGGGGCTGGCTGGCATGTGGTGCTGGGAGATTGAACCGCCGCCCCTGTGCTTTGCTAAGCTTGTTCTAAGTAGGTGCTTTAGACCACTGAGCCATCTCACCAGCCCGACAAAAACTTTGTTTTCATTTTTTCTCTTATGTTCTTTTTTTCTTCTTCCTTCTTTCCCCCTCCAACCTCTTTCCCCCTTCTCATTTGAACATTTTCTTCCCATTTCCCAATGTTTATTATACATTTTTGTCCTTTTTCACACTTTCAATTTCTCACAGAGAAGCAATGCAGTATTTAAATATGTGTCCAATTTATTTCACTTAAGAGTGTCAGTCACCCTACCTATTTACCACCCAAACCCCTCCATGCACACTTCTTTTTAATCTTAGCCTGAGGCAGTCAGAAGCAAAAGTTAGCAGTAGTGTTCTGGAGATCACTGGGGGCTCAATGTGAAGAACAATAGTTTAGAGGCCAGGGAGATAGCTCAGTAGAATAAGTGCTTGCCTGGCAAGCACATGGTCCTGAGTTCAGTCCCTGGTACCAAAAGAACAGAACAACAAAAAACACCCCAAAACCCCAGAACAATAGCTTAATGGATTGCTCCAGGAAGTTGGATGTTTTTCCAGTCTGCTGGACACAGTAGAAGTACAGACAGTAGGTACTGGGGATAGAGGATGTGGTGGTGGTGGTTGTGGAGGAAAAGTATATATCCCTGGGTTCTGTTTTTTTTTTTTTTTTTGGTACTGGGCATTGAACTCAGGACCTTGCACTTGCCATTGGATTTTGTTTTAAAAACTATTTCCCTTAAGATGCTGGGAGTGCTCATTAATTTTCTCAATTTCCTTGGGAAAGGCCAGAGTATTGTTGGCAGCTGAGTTAGACAGAAATACAGGCAGTCAGACAGGGCTAGGTCCTCAAAGGACCCAGTATTCAAGACAAGATTCTTTGTAACTATAGGAGAGATAGGCACTCCTGCTTTGGGCCAGACCTCAAGACAAAAGATTAAGCAAATGCATCCACATACCTCTCTAGGGAGGGGTGTCAGGGATTGATATTCTAATAGTATCAATCACCTTGAAAAAGTCAGGAAAACTCATTAACCCTTCCCCCTACAGGAAGAGCCTCTGTTCTGTATTCATGTCAGCTTGTTATGTGACTTGCTTTCCCATTTGGTCCTGGATTTAATCAATTTTATGTGAGCAATCGTGCTTGTAGTCTTACTGGCTAACCATAGTTTTGTCCCACCTCATGTGCAAATTCCCAAGTTTTCCACCTTAGACCCATCTCACCTCATGGTTTTGCTCTATGAAAATTCCTAGGGGCTGGTGAGATGGCTCAGTGGTCTAAAGCACCTACTTAGAACAAGTTTAGCAAAGCACAGGGACCATGGTTCAATCCCCCAGCACCACATGCCAGCTAGCCCCGCCCCCTGGTGGGCTGAGCTGGCCACACACACACACACACACACACACACATAAATAAATAAATAAAATTTAAAAAAAATTCCTAGAAAAGAGAGATTCCTTAGCAGCCCACTTAGGTCCCTTTCTATCCCTCTTGGACAAGTCTGCCGCCCCTCCTCCCCCCCATCACAATTAGTATATTCTGCTTTTAACCTCCATTGTTCCTAAAATGCATTCTTGGGTTTTAGAGAACACAGACTCATCCCAGGTATCTTTCAGGTTGGGAGTTTCATTCCCCTATATCAGGAGGAGGTTGCTGGCTTTCAGAAATGCTTCCTTACCTCAGGGCATGGCCTGCAATGGACAAAATGGATAGGGGTCCTGACCGCTGAAGACAATAATGCATCCAGTATTCACCCTTCCCATTCTCCTACCACCTCCTATATCAGGCAGCTTCTGGGCAACTGGTAAAAATAAAACACAACGTGACTGAAGGGGAGGGGTCAGATGGGCATTTTATTACATATTGTAGCATAAATTGGACAAGAGGCAAATCTGGAATGATGGTCATTGTGTCAATTTGTCAATTAACAAACATTCAAATAACATAATTTTTTCCATCTGAGTGAGAAATGGAATCTCATGTAGGTAAAAATCTGGAGTTCCAGGTGCCCGGGGGGTGGTGACACATGCCTGTAATCCCAGCACTTGGGAGGCTGAGACAGGAGGATCATTCCAATTTCAAGACTATCCTGGGCTACAAAGTGAGCTCGCAGCCAGCCTGACCTTCCCTATATCAGGAGAAGGTTGTCTCAAAAAGACTTTTCTCAAAAATATAATTAAAAAAATGGGGGGGGGAGAACAAAAAAAATAATAATACAGGTTCATATGTGAAACCAGCCCTATCCCTGTCCCTGGGGTGTGTTGAGCCAGTGACCGAGTCCAGGCATGGTGGCGCACACCTGTAATCCTAGCACTGAGGAGGCTGAAAACAGGAGGATCACTAAGAATCTGAGCTACATAGTGAGACCCTATACCAAACACATAAATGTAAAAAAAGAAAAAGCTGGTGTCCAGACCATGGACAGGATGACTCATGAATGTCATTGTCTTAGTGCAAAAATGTCTGAGGGCTAATGCCTCTCGGGAGGTGTCCCTTGTGGGTATGGAGAGTTCCTTCCCAGTAGATAGATCAGAAACATCAGGAGTCACTTAGGCCCATAAGGCAATAAAGGCCATGAAGGTGAAACCAGCAGCTACACAGCCCCATTTAGCCAGAGGGGCCTCATAGTTACTTAGCTCACGGGGCAGAATTTCCAGAAATGTCACATACAGGAATGTGCCAGCTGCAAGACCCTCTAAGATGGCCTGGACTAAGCCCTTCCACCCTTCAGAGTTTCTGGCAGCCATGGTCATCCCTAGGGCTAGGCCCAAGGGGGACATGAAAGCTAATGACAGTATGGAGGATATGGCCCATCGAGATCCAGTGCCTATCTTTACCAGTCGCAGCGCCACACCAAACACTACAAGCCCCTTATGAGCCAGGACAGCAAGACAGAGCTGTATGGTAGCTGCTATGGTTGGCTGGAGCCCCACAGCAAGCCCTTCAAACACTGAGTGAAAAGAGAGTGACAACAAGAGCACAAAGTCTCGAAAGGGACTTTGTTTACGTGAGTGTAGAGATGCATGGCTGTGGAAATCAAAGACAGGATTCCCACCTGAGTCCTCCTCCTGCACTGTTGATTGTCCAGTAGCCCCAGCACAGCACTGCAATGCCAGTGACTCCAAAAGGAAGATAAGGAAAAAGCCCAGGGAGATGATGAGTTCTCCATAAGGATATTCCACCTAGGGACAGAAAGAGAGGCTGTGAGGCAGGAGAGAAAGGGAAGGCAGAGCATTGGGTGAGCTATGGGATCTGGAGATGGAAGTGAATGGGAGAAATGCTGTAATAGAGCATAAAAGGGGCAGGGGTATGAAATCAGAAGAGAAGTGATAGTGAGAATGACAGAGGGGACAAGCGAGACAGTATCAGTAGGGTTAGGAATATAGCAAAAGGATGGGAAGATTGTCAGAGGATCTAGGGAAAGGAGGTAATGGTGAGATGTGGGTTTTTCTAGGGGTCCATAACACAAAAGAATAGGTTAGAACATCTTTTTCTCTACATTGTTTGAACTGGTAGCAGAATTCCTGGTATTTCTCATATATGCCTTTCAGAAGGATCTGGATATGAAAGAACATGGTTCTCCTCACCCTCCAGATAAGAGACTGCTGTGAAATACTTACAAAGGCTGAGCCAGCATCACTAGAAGGATTTCGCTTGCTTTCCGTTCTGTTCTAGGGAGAAAGATAGCAATATTAGTTAGGAGATGAAAAGCTCAACTTCCTGTCCTGTTCTTTCAGCAGTACTGCTTTTCTTAAAGCCCAACCTGACCAGCTTTCAGTACTCACAGAACACAAGAGCTGGTAACTTCCCTGTTGTCGCATCATTGTCCTTGGGCTCTATCACTTTCTCCCCTTGCTTCCCTTGGTTCTGTTTATCATTCATGCCTCACAACCCTGCAGCTTAGCACCTGCTGCTCACCTGCCCAAAGAACTTCTGGATCTCTGACTCAATTCCCTCCAGGGCTTCAGCAGTCATGTGCATAAAACCTGCTCCCAGGAAAATACCAGCAGAAGCACAGCCCAGGAGGTTGAGGACTCGCAGATGGCAACCTAATAAGGAGTAGAAGTTACAATCCAGTTTGTATTGAGGAAATAAAAATGATTGAAGTCCAATACCTTGAGCTTCAGGATGTTCAGAGAACCAGAGCAAAGAATCCTAAAGGGTAGGGTTGAGGTGAGACTTAGAAGTTAAAGAATGAAGATGGGGCTTTACCTGTAGCTGCATCAATCTTGAACCATTTGGAGAAGATGGGACTCAGTCCACAGACCAGGGTGAGAGTGAACAAGCCAAACAGGCAGCCCAGTTTTACTCCAATTAGTGACTCCATCTCTGGGCTGCAGGAGAAGTAGAAGCCTCAGAATGACAAACAGAACTGAAGTGGTGTCTTAGGTGATCAGAGCTGAAACATCCCAACTTCGCAGTTTCAAGAGACTTTGTGTCCTCCTGTTCCGGGTTGCCTCTGGCAGAGCAGCATTGTTTAAGCTGACTACTGAGGAGGGCCCTGCCCCAGCTATACTCCTCCCCTTACCTGGAGGCCCTCCCCTAGCTCACACCTTGTGTCTTGAGCTTCTAAACCAGAAACTCCAGACTTCCTGTGGGGCACAGCTCAGTGCTGTCTCTTCTCAATGCCTTGCCTAATCCGAGAACTCTGGATAATCTAGTTCATGCCTAGGTTGAACACTTTGTGCTGGTCTAGCACCAGTGGGGCAGTCTGTGGTAGCCACTTCCCAACTATTTCGTACAGTGGACAATCTGGTCCTGCCTCACTTGGGATACTTCATCTAAGCCTGCTACATTCTCTGCTCCATCTCAAGACTTACAGGTGGCTATGTTGATGTCTGAAGGAACACTTTCAGAGGGGCTTTTGGGGCCACCTGGGGGAGAGGTGGTGCTGCTTTCACTCTGGAGGAACTGGTCAGTGAAGGGACTCTGCTTCCTCTCTCCACAAAAATAGCTCCAGGCATGGAAAGCACAGATTCCTAGTGTTGTAACATTGATGCTATCATTTCTGACTGCCTGTTTCTGAAAGTGAGCCACCACAATAAAAGACTTTTTTCTCTAAGAAATTTGAATATTTCTCCTGCCAGCCCTGCCCCCAGCCTGGCTGCGGGTGACCAAGTTGGGGGTGGTGGTGATGGCTCATGCCTGTAATCCCAGTACTGGGGAGGGTGAAAACAGGAGGATCATGAGTCTGAGCTGCTTAAGGAGACCCTGTACCAAATAAATAAATAAACAAATAAATAAATAAATAAATAAGTTTGAATTACTCTATTTCCTAAAAGTTAAAAAATGAAAACCAAAAATGTACCAATACAATCTAATTGAAAGTTGATAAAACCAAACAAAACCAAGTAGGTGGAACAACATACTTCTCCTGGTCAAGGTGACCTGTATCCCCATTGCCTTTCCTATAGTTATCAATTGCTAACCTTGTTTTTGTCACACAGCGAGATTTCAAGCTTGATTTGCTGACATTGCTCACTGGTTTGCCAAATGTTCATTAGTTCCAAAAAGTCTGAAAGCCCTAATTTTTACAAACTTGTGCAACTATCAGTTTCTCCTCTGGACTCTCCTTTCTGTCCCCTTTCCATTATATTACTTTACCATGCTTGCTGGGGTGCCCAGCCTTTTCAGTGAGCTCTTTCTTTCTTTCTTTTTTTTTTTTTTTCTCTGAATGCCTTCAGGGCAGGTTTGGCTGGCTTGAGTTGTGGGGCTCTGACCACAGCAACCTGAGCCTGACTGCTTTGTTGAAGCAGCCATTTAAAGAACTGAGCTAAGAGGCAGGCCCCCAGTGAGCTCTTTCTTGATTAAACTTCTCTAGCACCAGCATTCAGTGATGGATTGGCTGCTACTCATCAAGCACATTAATCTAATTTGGGAAGATCAATAACCTTTCTTTCTTTCTTTTTCTTTCCTTTCCTTTTTTTTTTTTTTTTTTTTTTTTTTTGCAGAACCAGGGATTGAACTCAGGACTTTGCACTTGCCAGGCAAGTGCTTATTCTACTGAGCTATCTCCCCAGCCCAGATTAATAACATTTCTTGATATGAACTGAGGGGTATTTTGAGTTTACACTTCCCAAAGGCTGGGAAGTGATGGCACTCTGAGTTTAAAGATGACATTTCTCTAGCCATGAAAAATAAGATCAAGGAGAAAAGAGAAATGGACCTGATAGGTTCTGGTCCAAGCATAAATTCCTGAATTATTATGGTGGTCACCAAACATGGCTGAATTCCCAAAACAATAGCTTATCTTCCCAGAGACTTTCTCCTCCTTCACTCCCAGCCCAAGTGCTGGGTACAAGCTTCTTTCACCTTTCCCATGGGAGACCCCAAACAGCTCCTCAGGTGTTGCTATACCTGCCCCTCACACTCTGCCTTTGGCAAAAATCCATCTAACCCAAAGGGCCCTTTGCCTCAGGCCAGAGGATACCTTTATCTCCCTGCCATAGGTCCTCTCCCAGCCTGCTCAATGTCAATAAAGCCTTTTCCCTCTTTCTCTTACTTCTGCTTCTCTGCCACACTGCCAGAAAACCTAACAGAACCAAGTAAACAGAAGGATCCTGCCTGGATATATGGGTTGGAGATGGGCAGTTTAGTCCTGATGTAACCAGCACTGCAAAACAAAACTATTAAGTTATTATTTTTTTTTAAAACCTTCTTATTTAAACACTTTTTTCAGCTCAAAAGAAGTGACAGAATGTGCAGGTGCCAGCGACAACCCAGAGGCCTGGTTTGTTACCCACTAGAAAGAGAAGGCTGAGCGTACGATGGCTGCAAGAAAGAAAGCAAGTATGAGATCTGCATTATCCCTGTGTCTCCCTTCCTCTGCTCCTTACTATAAAAGACTTCTGCCGGTCTGTGCATGGTGGGAGTATGATTTAACGTAAATAGGCCCCTCCACCTCCTCAGAAGGAGCTTTGCATGAATCCTTTTTTCTGTTTACCCAAACATATGGCCTCCTCTGATTTGGTTAGTGGTGAGCAGAAACTAAATACAGGAGGATCATTGTGAGATAGGTCTGGTCTATATAGTGGGTTCAAAGTTAGCCTGAACATAGCAAGGCCCTCCCCCCCCCCAATTTTTTTTTTTTAATGATGGAAAGGAGAGATTGCCAGGGACATAGCTTGGTGACACAAGCACCAGCCTCCAAGCACATGGTCCTGAGTTCAATTCCTGGCATCAAAACAAAAAATTAGAGTGATAAATTAGGTTAAGTAGCTTCTATTCTGCTATTCAGAAAGGCTGAAGAACAACCCTGAGACTTGTGGAGTCAGCTCTTAAAGTGCTTTCCCTATTATTCTGATTATCTCCCTTGTGGCCTCAGTCACTGGTAGACACAGCAGTATAGGAAGGTGAGCCTGAGATCTGAAGCTTGGTATTGAAAATCTCAAGATTCTTCCTTATGGAATAGCCTAGAAAAACAAAATCCATTTCTACTCTTTAAAATTTATTAAAACTTCACACAAATACAGACATATAGGAGTATTAGTATTTCCTTCCTGGATACCATGAAGCTCTAGCTTCAGCAGGTCTGAGAGAAGACACAGATTATGCACCCTTATATCAACTCTCAGGCAGATCCTGATCCTGAGTGCAGGGATGGAGGAGACTCAAGGAGTCTTGGCTGGAGTGATCACAGGCGAAAGGTCTCCCCAGGAGGGTCATGACACCTAAGAAATAGAAATACGATGTCACTGTGAGCTGTAGGCTCTCGCCACATTCCATTAATTCTGGTCACACCTCCATACCACCTCTATACCTGCTGTGCTTATTGGCTGTGACAGCAGCACAGGTGACAATGCACATGGTGGGCCCTCTAAGGACAGGCTGAATGGGATTCATGGCCAGTGATTAGCATCTTCTGGAAATCCTCAGGCAAGAATCACCATGGAGAACTTTTCTCCTTTTGGTTGCTTATTTGAAGGTAAGAAGTTCCCACATTCTTGTCATCCAATTTTTCTTTTCAGTCTTGAGTGATTGAACTCAGGGTGGCTCTACCACTGGGCTACATCTCCCTGCCCTTTTATTTTTTTTATATGGACTAAATTGCCTACTATGGGCTGAAACTTGCAATCCTCTTGCCCCAGTCTCTTGAGTGCTAGGATTACAGATGTGTGTCCCTATGCCTAGTGCTAAGTCATTTATGTTCTACAAATCACACACATGCAGGCTCTAATATCTCCAGAGTATTTTATTTTATTTTAGTGTGTGTGTGTGTGTGTGTGTGTGTGTGTGTGTGTGTGTGGCCAGCTCAGCCCACCAGGGGGCGGGGCTGGCTGGCATGTGGTGCTGGGGGATTGAACCACGGTCCCTGTGCTTTGCTAAGCTTGTTCTAAGTAGGTGCTTTAGACCACTGAGCCATTTCACCAGCCCTCCAGAATATTTTATAAGTTCTCCACTCTTCCCATCTCTGACTTTTTTCCCTGCTTTCCTGGGTTAATTTCACCCTGTTATAATATTACCAGAATATATACCCAGCTGAAGGGGATGGGATCATAACCCTGGGAGAAACTGTAGGCCAGGGGCTGAGAAGCCATCAACTGCGGACAAGAGATTTCATGGGGACACTGTGAACACAAAATCACCATGAATCATTCAGAAGACAGAATCCAGAGGGCCCAGGGAGAAGGCCGCCAGGAGTGGATGGCAGGGAGAATTAGGAGTCCCTAGGTGAAATGAAGAGGGACATGGAGTGATGGAGAGCGGCCTCACTTATCTGCTCACTCAACCTGGCCACATTCACATTCTGATCCATACGCTGGATGCAAAGACAAACCCAGGATGAGGGTTCAAAGGTAACTTCTTTTTTCCCCTAAAGTCAGAGAAATGAAGTTGGGTCTGCAGAGTCTACTTTCATAATTCAATCAATACTTGGGGGGTTAGGGACTCTTTTAACATTTAATCCTAAAAATGATGAACTATATCCTTTTAGTTATGCTGGCTGTATTGCTAATGCTCTAAACAAAGAACTTTCTCATTGTAGTAGTAGAAAGGCAGAAATTTGGCACACAGTAAGAGATTCTCCCTTATCAGTAATGTCCACTTTAAAAAAATTCAATCAGGCAATCAAATCTATGATCACACACTGGTTTATATTCTCTTACAGACAAGGTTCTTGGCTCAGCAATGCCCTATATCAGGATGAACTTTTTCTTCATAGTGGCGATTAGACCCAGTACCTTGTACATGCTACACAAATACTGTACCACTGAGTTACACCTCAGCCTTTTCCTATTTGAAGACAGGGTCTTGCTAAGGTGCCCAATCTGGTCTTGAACTTGTAATCTTCCAAATGGCTGAGTTCAAAAAAAAAAAAAAAACCAAAAAAACAAAACAATAGGGCCAGGGAGATGGCTCAGTGGAATAAGTGCTTCCTTGGCAAGCGCACGGGCCTGAGTTCAATCCCCGGTTCCACAAAAAAAAAAAAAA